TAAAGACCAAAAAGTGCACCACACAACAAAATATTGTTTATCAAATAAGAAATTATCACTGTGCCTGGAATTTCACAGGGGCTTAATAAATGTTAAATGACTGAACAAAAAATACAATTCTAATATCACATACACTTTATTGTCCACCATGTGCAAAACACACTCAACTTTTATACATTACTTCTAATGCTCACAATCCTTACAAGTACATTTTAATTCCATTACATGGATGAGAATTGTCCATCAATACAAAAGCATTAATTGAATCTATAAAGGAATCTTATCTGAAAACATTTAGGAATAGCTATTTTTCTACTATAAATAGCACTATTTTATAAACTTAAAATTTCAGAAAGTGAAGCATATTGCAATTTTATTGCAGCAACAATTTCACGAAAGTGAAACTCATCAGAAATTTTTCTATGCAGTTGTGCTGTCTCAGTATCCTTGATAAACCTCTGTTCTAAAAGCAATCATTTTTGGTAGTTCCTTCCTGATTCCCTTTATTGGATCCTCCACAGACCTCTTAGCAATCCGTGGCTCAGTGCTTTGCCCTGTTCTCACACTCCTTTGATTACTGGTATTCAACCTTTTCATCATGCCACACAGTAAGACTTTTATAATGCAATTCACTATAGCAAATAAAAAGGATCACGAATAAAACTGAAACAAAAGGATCATGAAGAAATATCCTACTATACGGGATATCTGATATTTTTTATTCTGTGCTTTTCTTCCTTCCATTCCTCCTCCCCCTCCCCTTTGATTTTAATGCTGGTTAGGGGGTACCTCGGTGGCTCAGTCGGTTAAGGGTCGGATTCTTGATTTTGGCTCAGGTCATGATCTCATGGGTCACGAGATCCATGAGATAGAGCCCTGCCTCGGGATCCCCACTCAGTGGGGAGTCTGCGTGAGATTCTCTCCCTCTGCCCCTCCCCCGTACTCATGCTCCAGCACACTCTCTCTAAAATATATAAACAAACAAATAAATAAAGCTGGCTAGTACTCATTAAATTGATTTCATGACCCATTAATGGGCCACAACTCACAATATAACAGGACTGTTATAGGTGATCTCCAATACCACAGGTTTAAATATCCTCTATGACTCCTATTTTTATCTCAATCACATCATTTCCCTTGCACTTCAGACCCCAAATGCTACTTGACATCTTCCCTTGGACATTTTTCTAAACCTGTTCTCCCTCCCTTATTGATAAAATGAAAACACCATGGTCAGGCCCTTAATTCTCAAGTCTCACTCAACTCATTTTTTCTCTCATGAAAAGCTACTATTTCTACCTTTGAAATATATGCTAAATCCAACTTCTTAGCACCTCTCCTACTATCCACCTAACCTAAGTCATATAAACTCTAAGTTTATAGAGACTAATACAAACATCTGTTAACAATTTTTCTCCATTCTCCAATAGTCAGGGTGATCCTTTAAACATATTTAAGTCAGTTCACACCCCCTGCTCACAACCATCCAATGGCTCCCCAAAACAGTTAAAATAAAATCCAAATTTCCTATTATAGCCTATGGCTACCATGACCCTTGCTATCCTTTTCTGAACTGATCCCCTACTTCTGCTCCCTCATGCTCACTCTTCTCCAGCTAGTTTTCCCTGCTGTTCTTGGAAGAAGCCAGGAATGCTCCCAGTTGAGAATTTTTTTTTGTACTTGCTGTTCCTAATGCCTAGCTTACTCCTTCATTTCACTGAGATCTCTGAATAGTAACTCAGGAGCAGCCTTCCCTGACAACCTGAATTGAAAAAGCACCCCCATTACCTCCTAGGCTTTTATCCATTTTTTTTTTTCTTTCTTATAGCACTTACTACCCAACCTTATATCTCCAATGCTTACGAGTACTCAAATTTTAGTTTAAGAAATAAATGAATGAATGTACATAAATGAGTATTAGTAATCATTGTAATGACAATACTATTGAGAACTTAAGTCTTGGTACATTAGCCTCATTCTTCTTGACACAATTCTTCCAGATGAATAAATCTATTTTAAGAGCCAACTATGTATAAATTGAAGTGAAGAAACAAGGTGACCTCTGAGATTGGAACTGGAAAAAGTATGACTTGAATCCATCTAAACTTGTAAAGAAAGTATAGTTTTTGTATATACAGATACTGAGTCAGGAGAACTAGGAACCTAACTAGATTTTATATACTTACTTAGCAAGTAGAGTATTTATACACCAAGAAAAATAATGGGTAAGAGCCTAGACTCTGGGAGCTGACTGGGTTCAAATCCTGGTGCTGCTATTTAATAGCAATATAGAACTTTTCTGTATCTTAGCTTCCTCATTTATAAAATGGGAACAGTAATATCAGATTTACCATAGTGTGCTGTGAGAACCTAACAATGCTTATCACATTAGTAAGCCTGTAAATAAATACTAGCTATTATTATTCATTTGTAATTTATCTCAAAATTCCTTATCTATTAACACTATTAAATGAATTTTGACTGGCAAGCCACAAATTATGCTTTATATTTCCAAACTTCTCAGGAAAGATTCATATCCAATTGAAAAGACCCGCCCCTCTCCCCGCCACAAGTACTGAAAAAAACTGGTTTGTTACTATGACAGGAAGTCACAAAATGGCAGAAGATGTGATACCCTAAGCAAATACCTGCTTATATTGTACAAAATAAATAGTTCAACAGTTTACAGGTATGAAATTACATTTTTCTGAAAGATTAAAATTTAAACTCATTTAAATTCCTTACCACATCCAATGTTCAATATTATGAATATTGGAACTTAGATTGTGTTTTATACATTTCACAAAATAACACAATTTGGTTGCAAATCTCACCCTTTCTTACTATCTATCTATATTTTATGTATATAAAAGCTTGCCCCTACAGAGTTAGATAGCAGCTGATTACCTTAGACATTAAAGGTTAAATAAGGAAAGAAAAAAAGCTGAGCTGCTTCAGTTCTCATTATTATAATGTAATGTGGGGATGCATATAGTTAAGTCCTAAAGGACAAAGTTCAGTAATTAAAATTAGCTGTTTTCTTATCTGGGCAAAAAGCAGGGAAAAACTGTTTAAGAGTGAAAAAGCTTACTGTGACTTTAGCCATAAGGGAAGTGTGTCATCTCTATGGTGAATCAGGAAATCATCTGCTGCCACAGAATCATAATACTATAGGGATCACAGCATAAAATGCTAACATGTTAGAAGTGTCTGCAAGCCTGAAATAAAATTACTGAATCCCCACAGCAAACAATATCTAGGCTTGTTATGATCTAAATGGTTTAAATCCTTGCATTCTAAGTACTAATCCTAACAGAATTCAGTGGGCTATTTTGAATATTTGAAGATAAAAACAACTTACATTAAGGAATTGTATATACTACAGGTGTTTTAGTTGACTGGCCTACAGAATTTTTAAGTTTCAAGGTCTGCTTAATTGTTGCTATTAGAAAGGCTAATTAGATACTCAGTATTCTTATTTCAAATCACAGGTGATACCAAAGCTACAAAGTAAACACAGGTTGGTGGTGGTGTTTTTAAACTTGATGGACCCAATCAATATTACAGAAGTTCAAGTTTGAGCTTCGCTTAAAGCAGGCAAACATATAGAAGTGTAAAAAAATAGTAATAGAAAAGCTGATAAAAACAATTCTCAAATCTCACTGATCTCATTACAGACTTGTTTTTAAAGTTAGACCTCATAAAATAATGTCTTCAGGTATAACTCAAACATAATTTCACGTAGTGAGTATGCATGCCCTAAGGCAATCCCCTTAGTAGTGTATACTCCCCACCAGAGTTAAGTAAAAAAAACTCACATAGCTTAAAGTTTGATTTATTAAATGTAACAGCAAATCAGTTGTATTTATAACAATTTATTTTCACAATATTTAAATGACCATGTTTACAATTGCCACATCACTAATTCTTGCCAGCTTTTTCATTTTCTCTAATACTTTTTCTATAGATAAACTTAGAAAAAGTAGTATCTATTAAATCAATAATTCAGCACAAGATATATTATCAAATGCTGGCATTTCCTGATATTCAAGAATTTATGACAAGAAATGGGATCTTGGGTTTAAGAATAAAGGGGGAAAAACGAGCCACCTAATCCCAAACCAGGTAGAGAAGTACGGGTGTTAGTAAATGCTTCTGAAGCCAAAGCAATGTTCATGCAAGTTAAACTCAAACTTTCTATGCAGAAGTTTAAAACCGAACTGAAACACTGCTTTGATAGTGTAACAGAAACGAATGGCCCCAAACAAAACAAGTCCTTTGTAGCAACTGTTAAGCAGTATTCACATACAACTGCTTTCTCCAACCAGGAAGGCATGGGATGAAAAACTAAGTGCCAAAGAGAAAAAAAAGTTAAAGGTGCCAAAGGTCTTAAAAACTACACTTAGCAGCAAACGGCAAACGACCCCACTGACTCCTGCAAAAAGAAGCTGCTCCATTCCCCCATCAGCAGAGGAAGCCACGAGGACTGGCCCTGGGAAACCTGAGAAGGGGCCCGGAGCCCTCGACCAGCTCTCTCAGAAGCTGTGACTGTCTAAAAGACTGAGCGGCTGGAGAAAGCTCGGGCCACTAATTCCACTCCCTTGCCCTTCCCGTCCCCGTCCTCCCCATCCTGCAGGGTCAGCCCTGTCGCCTCCGGATGCCAAGAGTACTCAGGGGGGTCAGGGGGACTGCGTAACCGGCGGCCTGAGCGCCCTCTTTACCTGGTCGCAGAGGCGCGGCCAGGCAGGGAGGGTGCGTGAGCGTGTCAGCGACACGAGCCGCCTGCGCCTACCCACCCCGCGCGAGCCAGGTTTCCGAGGCAGCTTCTGCGAGTCTTCGCCCACGGACCACTGGCTGCCAGAAAGGCCGGAGAGAAACAACAGGCAGAGTGTCTTGGAAACAGCCGCGTCGGCCGTCATTCATAATCCGGCGCACCGGAAACCGACGGTTACGTCACTTCCCACCGTCGCACCGCCAAAAAGTTCCCCTCTTCACGCTGCTGCAGGAACCTTTGTTTCCCTTTACTGGGAGCAGGCTAGTTCCGGGAGCGGTTCGGAAGGGGCCTCCGGGAGCGGACGGAGCGGCGGGGCGGAGCGGTGAGTTGTGACGAGATACCCGGTTCCCAGCCGCCTCTGGGAGGCTCGAGACCTCCGCGAGGGGCGAGGTGGGAGAGTAGTTGCGTGGGGTCTTAGTTTCCTCGCTCCTTATGGGGAAACCTCGTAATTTGCGGGCGGTCGCGTGCCCCAGGCTGACCGCTCTCTCCCTTCAGCGAGGGTTGTTTCCTCCTAGGGTGTTTCGGGCTAGGGCTTGTCGGCTGAGGCACGGCCCCAGGGACTAGGTCCCTGGAACCCTGTCTCGGACCTTTCTCGGAAGGTTTTGGCGACTTCTCTGTGCAGCTCCCTCTTTCCGCCTCTTATCTTCTCTCGGGCTCCCTCCTCAAAGACCTTACCCCGTGGTAGGCCTTCGGTGTCATGTTTTGATCAAAGGATAGGCATTCCTTTTCTGAGCGTCTGCTGTCCCTTTTCAGCTTCTCTGTCACTTGGTTGATTTGGAATCGTGGAATCGTGGTCTTTCCGCTTCCCCTGCGTTTCCAGGCGTGTCCCTAAGATTTCAGTGTAACCCAGGGCCAAGAATCCAGTAGAGGATTGAAATGGGCAGCATCTTGAAAAGGATTTTTATTGGAAGGGGTTGCAAGAGCTTCCAAAGACATAGAGGGCAAAGCTTTCTAGAGCCGTTATGAGATGGCAACCCTAATATTGCACTCGGTGTGAATAGGTTCAGTGTCTTTTACCTCGTGCACATGCAGATAGATGATCAACTTTGGACTTTTTTTAAGATTGGCATGTAGGGTGAGAAATGGGATCTAGAGCAAAGCTTTATGAATATCCAATTTAGGTTGGAGAGATCACGGATGCCCCAGAAAGTTATATTTAAACAAAACCTAGTTCATTCATTCAATATTTTTGAGACCCTAATTTTTAAACACTAGATCTATTACTAAATAAAATAAGCCCTTGCCCTCATAGAGTTACAGTCTAGTGGGATTAATGAATTTAAGCCAGGTAAAGGATTGGGAAGAGAGTATTGCAGATAGGAACATAGTACAAGTCTCTAGTATTGGAATTATATTGCTTTTCCTGTCGCTTTTTGATGTTTGAGGGGTTGGGGGGGCAGGAGGTGCAGGGAAGGTGGGTTTGAGTGTCTTTCATATTGCTCTTTGCAAAGGGACTTTGTAAATGGTTAGAATTGTGTAGAAGGAGGAAAAAGACCATTATACTTTACTTTGAACCCTAATCGCCAGCAAAGTGATAGTCAAAAAGATAAATATAGACTCCCCCCACACACTTAAAGTACTCAGAGTTTTATAGGGAATATAACACTTAAAAAAAAAAAAAAAGTATGGTTCAAAGTAGAAAGTCCTAGTACGACAAGAAAGCACTATATGAGATATCGTAGGAGGGAGAGATTATTAGTATTTGGGGTGGGAAAGGACACACCATTGGTGAATAGAATCCTCATGAGAAATAATATTTGAACATAGAATTTGGACATCTAAAAATGGGTAAAAAGCTTCCCAGAGAGAAAAGTAAGTAGAGGTGTCAAGGCCAGCTAATGGCTCTGCTGTAAGGGAAATCTGTATATGAAGAATTAAAGTTTTTGTGCCAGTTAAGGAGTCTTTTTAAATGGTAGGTGAAGAAATTGGGCTTTATTTTGAAGACAGTAGGAAGTTTTAATTTTTGAGCAAGAAAATGAAAAAGAAAGAAAAATGTCTTTGGGGAACATTAATATGACAACAGTGTTGAAGTCAAGGAGAATAACTAGATTATTGCTATAATACAAAATTTATAAAGACATGAATTTGAGTAGTATCAGTGAAAGTGAAAAATGGAACAAATGTGAGAAATGTTACAGAGTCCGAATCCATAGGGAAGGCCTGCTGATTGTTTGGTAATAAGTAATAAGAGAGGCCTCAGTGAGGGAAGGATGTAGGCCTTAGGCTGGAATAGCAGAGAGTGTGTCATTCATTGAAAAAAGTGCAGGACAAGGAACTTTTGGGGGAAGGTATTCATAATCTCAGTTTTAGTCTTAACTGAATTTGAGATACCATTAGGGCAACCAGGTAGACATATCTACTAAGCAATTGGAAATGTGGGATTTGAGCTTAAGTGAGATTGGAGTGGTGATAAACATGAAAGCATCTGCCTAGAGGTGATAGTTAAAAACATGATACATAGACGGTAACCAAGGAAGAATTGGATGCAGAACTAAAGAAGATAAACAAGGACAGATACTTGGGCAATACCAAGAGTGACAGAGCTGAGAGGATGAACCAGAGTGAGAGTAGTCAGAGATAGAAGAAGAAAACCAGAAAAGCTAAGTGTAATAGAAATCAAGGAGGAGAAAGTTTTTGAAAGAGGAAATGAATAATATGTGTTCACTTGGCCAGCATTTAATGAATACCTGCTACCTGCCAGGCACTCTGCTAGGCACACAGTTAACAGCAGTAGTAAGATCAATCCAGTGCTGGTTGTCATGGAATTTACATTTTAGTGAGAAAGACAGACACTGTTTACATAATTAGCAGTATAGTAGCTATTACAAATAAGTGCAGGATGTTTGGGGACCATGTAACAGTAAGATTTCTTATTTTGTTGGGGGAATGTGAAAAAATACATTTGAAGGATGAATAAGACGGTATGGGACACTTTCTACTAAAGTGCTGAGGTGAGAAAGAATTTGATAAGTTGAAAGACTTGAACTAAATTATGTGGCTACAATAGAGAGTGGGAATAGCCTGAGATATTAGGTAACATTTAATGAGTGTACTCTGTGCCAGGTATTCTTGCAACTACTTTACATGTATTACCAGATCTTATAGGGCATTAGAAACTTTGTTAAGGATCTTGTTCTTTAACCTTTAGACAGAGAGAAGTGAAAAGACCATTTAACCAAGTGAGTGATATAGAAAGACATGGAGGGGGACAGGAGTGGTTGTGGGGAGACTGATTAAGCTATTATGGTGGGCCAGATAATGGATAATGGTAGCTTGGTCTAGGGTGGTGGTAGTAAGGATTAAAAAAGGTAGATGAATTTGAGATATATTTATGTGGTTTGGTGATTGAATGGGACAGCGGTGGTGGGTGAGGAATTAGGAGGACTTAAAGCTGATACTCACGTTCTGGCTGGAGCAATGAGGTGAGTATCATTTGAGAAAGGGAATGCTCAAGATCTGGTTGGGAGACAAAAGAAGAGGTTTTGAGTGGTCTGTTAGGCACATGTTGAATAGGGGACACCAGCGAGATAGCCAAGTCAAGCTGGCTGTTGGATCTTGGAAGAGATGGGTGGGCTGGAGAGATAAATGTATAATCAGCGGCAAAAGGGTGTAGATCAAATAGTCTAGGACAGTAATTCTCAAACTTTAGAGTGGATCAGAATCAGCTAGAAGGTTTAATACAGATTTCTGGGCCCACTCACAGTTTTTTCTTCAGTTGATCTGAGATCTGTGCTGCTGATCCAGACGTCACATTTTGAGAAGGTGTAGAGTGAGGCAAGAAGAGATCCAGAACCTAACCTTGAGGAACTCATTTATGTTGAAGTGGAATAGGAACCTACAAAAAGACTAAGAAAGAAGTAGGAGGAAAAAACAGTGTTTATTTTATTTACCTACAGCTAGGAATACTTTGGTGAGAACATGGAATGATGGGACAAAGGCCAAATTGCAGGAAATGCAGCATAAATAGAAGAATTAAGAAAGGGAGCATAGAATGAGGATGACTTTCTGAGGAAGTTTTGCTATGAAATGAAGAAGGCAGGATACAAGAGCCTTGAATATATCCAAGTATTAATGAAAAGATGCTGGTAGGAAGAAAGAGGCTGTGGGAGTGGGCAGTGGAGAAGACATAGTAAATAATCCATAGCTCAAGATCCAGATTGAGAAGGAAAAGGTAGGATCCAGGTACAGGTAGCATTACATGGAGAGCCATCTTTTCATTTATCAAGTGGGGAAAAAGGGAAGGATGGGTGCAGGTAAGTTTGTGGATGTAGTCGCAAGAAGTTGATTTGGTGATTCTCTGACAGCTTGTTTTCTCTGTGAAGTCAGGAAAGACATCTACTGAGATAGGATAGCAGTTTCAAGGAAAATGGACAAAGTGTAACTGGTCTTGGCAGAAAGTGGGGAAGTGAGTTGACAAGAAAAGCATGATAGGATTGCTAAATTGTGTGGAGTGCCTAGATGAGATTGGTGACTCTGAAGATACAGTGTGTGTATTCCTCTCAGCTGCACTTAGAGTTTGGGTGCAGGCAGGGAGAAGGTAAATAGCAGGATGGATGGCTACAACGTAGATGAAACTATAGGACTGTAGGACAAGGGTGCTTAGAAAAGAGAGTCTTTGAAAGGCTGGACCATGGAATATAAGCTGGAAAGGAAGTGAAATGACAGACTGCAAATAAATCAAGAATGAGTGAGATGGAGAAAAGAGATCATTGTTTAGTAGTGGAAATTTCTGTGTTATATGCATTTGCCATAGATGATTCCTACTATGAGCTAAGAATTCACCACATTCCTAGGTCACTGACATTTTTTAAAGTAGTAATTACTAATTTTCTGACATCCTTTTTTTTTAAAGCAATACCTAGATTTTAAATTAAACCTACATTTAAAGCATTATTTCTTTCATGTATCTGTATCTGTGTATACACACACACACACTTAGGACTTTGTTTTCTAGAATCCTCAGTTAGAATGATATGGCTTTTTTCCAGTCTGTTTTGATCATGGATTTTGGAATATACAGGGAAGGATTGTATAAAAGTAACATAATTTGGTATAACTCCAGGAAAATATTTTTGGAAATTACAAAGGAAATAAATTGATAAATTAGTTGCTGACCTCTTTAAGGATGTCAATAGATGAAGAATAAATTTTACTATGTGTGCGTTTGCCAGTAAGAAAGAAGAATAGAAGCCAGAGAAGGCAACAGAAAAGGGGTGAAGAAAAGTAACATAGAAAACTAAAATATAAAGGATAAAACACATAACTATGAATGTTTTATATTAGGCCCATCTACTGTTTTCTCTTTGATGAGGGGAAAAAAGT